ATAAGTATTATTTTAAAATTAAATGATGCTATATTAAATATCAATTTTTCGAACGATTTCGAATGAGTTATATAATAGAAACGCGAACCCATTTTTGCCTTACTCCTCCTCATCATTTATGGAGTTTAACTTATTGTGCATTAACCAATTTTTACTCTTATAGTCTAGTAGCCGTAAATTAAAGACCTATGCTATCGTGCATTAATTATAGAATAGGAATAAAAATTTTTTGGTTATATATTCTTGTAGAGGATGAGAGCACCAGTCTATCGTGGACCGGTAAAAATGTACAGTGCTGCGAAGGCGCGCTGAAAATCGAACATTTTGGGCGCTTCGGCAGAATATGCCGTTGAGAGCCTTTTTAATTAACATTGAAAAAAAAAATATTTCCAATATCTTAAAAAATCTGAAAAAATTCTGAAATGTTCAGAATCGTTTTCTGAACATATTTTCCAATTAAAATTGAAAAAAAAAAATTTCGATTTTCTGTAGTATCTGAAGCGTCTTTTTTTCAAAATTTTTTTCGTGAACTTACCATCCTTATTTTGGGGGCAAAGTTATTTTTCAATATGAAAATTATCCACAGCAAAGTTTCATATCTTCATGTGGAAAGTATGAAACAATTTTTAAAAAATTTTTTAGCATTTGTTATAGATAAATTTTATAAACAAATGCGTAATTTTTAATTATTAAAAATTTTTTTAATTTAATTTATTGATTTTTTATAAACAATTATCAACAGAATGTTGGATCCATCAAAAGTTCGCTAGTAGTATGTTTGTCATTTCTTTTTTATCAAAATACTGATCAATATTTGTTTTTTCCTCATTGATTTATATTCTCTAATTAAAAAACATTGAAAAAAAAAAGTCAACAACACGTGGTGTTCCCAAGCGGTCACCCATCCAAGTACTAACCACGCTCAATGCTGCTTGACTTCAGTGATCAGACGAGAACTGGTATTTTCAGCATGATATGGTCGTTGACAATAGTGTTGAAAAATTTTTGTCTTATAACCAACTAAAACGTACTTCAATTGCCATCTGTTAAACACTAACTGCATATATGCTTTCTTCTTTATCGATATCCACCTATTCAGATATATATTATGTAACTATTTTATCTAAATCGGTAGATAGATGGATAAGTGAAGATTTTATAGAAGCATTTTTGTAGTGTTGTCTACTGATAGAAAATATCTAGACACGGTTCTTAAAAATTGGGCCAAGTCTTATAAGATTTTTCTTGAATTAACTACTTTTTTAAATTAAGTAAAAATTAATTGCAAAAAAAAATTTTACTGACATCCGAAGATAGCAGTATTGGTAGGATTTCAATTATTTTTATAATTTTATCTATTTTGAGCTTATATTTATAATTCTGTCATCATTAATGTTCAGTACCGGACATATATATCATCCCAGGCAACTGAATAAATAACTGCTTGTTGTCAATACATTGTAGAAAATTAGTTATATTACAGATTTTTTGAGTATTCATCATGAAAGTAGAAGAGCTAATATAATGACAATAATAACAAAACTGATTTTCCTACTTTCTAACTGTTATGGCGGAATATTATTCTTTGGCTGGGCATGCGTTAAAGAATTCCGCTTTTACCATGTGATTTGAATCTCCAACTTTGTGGAGGAGATTTCACTTTTCTTACTTTTAGAGGAGAATTTAAGGTTCCACTTATCACTTGTTACTCGAGAAGGAGCAAGTTTCTTTATTTTCTATACTTTTTGTTGAAGGAAGTCACTGTGTGGCGCTACTTTCCGAAAAAGAAACGTGAGTTCTACAGGCTTTCGTAGTAATTGCTCTCCACACTGACAGAAATATTTTCCGGTGGCGAATTATAGAATTTACTTGTCCCCAGTGGGAGCGTGACATCCGTCTTCAATAAGATGTCAGTCAAAGGCATTTTTACAATCTTAAGAAATTAAGACTGGTAAATTATCTTGCGTCGGTATAGTAGAAAAAAAATTCAACTAGTGTCACTGTTTTCTGATAGATGACAGTAACTGCACTTTTTTCAATCAAAAATTCAAAATGCTTATACAGAGAAAAGTCTTCTTTCTGGCTCATGAGATGTCATGTAATTCCTACTACATACATAAGTATATTTAGGCTTATAATCTAATGATAATAACATTTTTATCTCAATGTTAACGTAATAACGTAATCCAAGTGAAAAAATTTGAAAACTGAATTATTAAAAAGTTGAGAAACTTCAAAAATAATGTCTGCCAGTATTATTCTCTTCTTTAATAAACATAAACAATTTTCGTGCAACGAAAAAAAAAAGTTTTATTACTTAAGTTTTTATAAAAATAAATCAGTATTTGTAATTTACATGAATTTAAATATAAATATAATATTAATATAAATTTATTAATAAATTTTAATATGAATCACTAGTCAGCTTTGAGTAAATAAATTGTGGCCATTAATGTTGGTAGTAAATGAGTACATCCTTTCTGTTGGATGATATTATTTTTCATGGAAAATTGTATATATAAGTTACATCTTATTTTATCTTACCATTGAAATACGATATCAACGATAATAAATACTGAATTTTTGTACTTAAGTGAGACAGAAATGAACATATTACTTCTAGACATAATTCGTGATGAAGTTTGAACTCTATTGAGTTTGATACAATCATTGGATATCCAAAAATAAAATTATAAATAAATTACCAATCTTCCTACGTTAATGATAAGAATAATGATAAGTACTTTATCAATATAATTTTTTAACAAGCTTTCTTGTACAATTTATAACTTACTTCTAAATTTAATGTATCCAAACCAATGTTATCTATGCTTCATAATGCAGGATATTTTCCATTTATGCATTCTTTGTTAAATTTATCTAATATAGATGATATTTTTGTTCGATTATATGAAAAAAATGCTCCTTCTTTATTACTGATAACTTTTTTATCAGCTATAATAACTGGATGACTTGGTTCCTTTCTTGTAACTTCACGTATAATCTTCATTGAAATTACATGGCTATTTTAAATTATCATTCATTATTATCACTAGATTATAAGCCTAAATATACTTATGTATGTAGTAGGAATTACATGACATCTCATGAGCCAGAAAGAAGACTTTTCTCTGTATAAGCATTTTGAATTTTTGATTGAAAAAAGTGCAGTTACTGTCATCTATCAGAAAACAGTGACACTAGTTGAATTTTTTTTCTACTATACCGACGCAAGATAATTTACCAGTCTTAATTTCTTAAGATTGTAAAAATGCCTTTGACTGACATCTTATTGAAGACGGATGTCACGCTCCCGTCCCCAGTATAAAAGTGATAGGTAACAAAGTTTCGGAAGGCAAGTAAAGAAAGTACCTGGAATCAGTAAAACTTCGTTTTGAAATGATTAAAAAAAAATACTGAGTCTAAATACAAAATATACCACTCCTTAGTAGACTACAAGCGATTGAAGAAGTAATAAGTATACAAGTTTTATGAAAATAAAGTACTTGTATTTAAATAGTCTTTCTACTTGGAATCAGTATAATGTAAGCCAATGTATTTTGTTTATCTCAAGTAGGTAGATAATAAAAAAAGATTACAAAGTTTACTTCAGTTGATAATATAGTTTTCTTACACTGACGATCTTCCTTACTTACCACAAGTGTATTTTATACGGAAATCCCGTATAAAGCGTACTTATGCTAAGTTTAATGCTGTTTTACACTTCAAAAACCATTTTCTCACATTATGAATTCTTTTTATTAATAAGAAGATACTTGTTACTTGATTCAAGTATATCAATTCTTTACTGCAAGTATATTATATACTTAAATTAAGTATATAAAGTACTCATGCTAAAATTTTGTTCTTATTAAATTAAAAAATTTCAAAATATAAATGCCAAGTCTAAGTGCAGCAGCTCCACGTATTTAAAAGTACAACAGTAATTGTTGTAATTATTATAAGATTACTTTTCATCTGTTTATTAATTACTGAATATTTAATCATTAAATTACTTCATCAGTAATGCTCACTAATTTAAATTTACCAATATCAATGGGTATAACAGTAACTTTTTTATTATTAATATGATTATTTATATTTTAATGTTATTATGATTGTACAGCACACTTTACAATTTATTTTGATATAAAATGTACTTGCATCAAATAATAATTATACTCAAATTGAGTATATTCTGTGTTTGCCGCTAGTATACTTTCTAGCTATTACATTTTTTCTGTCAGTGCAAGGATACACTAGGCATTTATGAAGCCGAGTGTATTACAGATTGCAGTCAGTGAGTGCCAACTTAAGAAAACACGAAATGTCCAACTTTCATCCATGGAATGAATATGGCTGAATGTTTTTCAGAAAACTTCTAATTTTTAATCTTTGAAGTCGAATATCTTTTTGATGAACGAATGAAAAATTATTATCTATGCAGCAAATGAAAACTCATGGATGATTTATATGGCGAATGTAAGTATAATTCGCTTGTATCTTACGTAATTTTTGAGCAAATAAAGGAAATAAAATTGCAGGGAAGAGAGAAATACAAAGTTTTGTGTATAAGAGTGTCTGCTTATCACGCAACATGACAGAGAAAGAGAGAAAGACAAAAGTGAGGCGTGACATGGCGCAAGTAACGAGCAGTTACTCTTGATATTTAAGCCAATTAATCATTCAGGCCAAATTTTTGGCTTTTATGTTGAATGTGTCAAAAAACGTACTAATTAAAGAAAAAAAAGATAAAAGGGGTAATAATGTAATACAGTGCAGTAGCTGGAAAATTCTAATATGATGTACCTCCGAACCAATCACGTTTCTTTACTCTCCGATTCGCACTTTTTACTAGTGTTGTCTCTTTCTACTGACAGTTACCTCCGAACCAATAAGCAACGTTCTTTTTCAATAGTCGGCTGTGATTGGATCGGTGATACATTTACAATCAGCATAAGTGGAAAATCGAATTCTGTTCTGGTACTGAGTCTTGAATTTCAAGAATCTTACTCTCACAATGCCTCCTAAAGTAAGTGGAAAAGCTGTCAAAAAATCTGGCAAAGCCCAGAAAAATATCTCTAAAAGTGATAAGACCAAGAAGAAGCGCAAAAGGAAGGAAAGCTATGCTATCTACATTTACAAAGTGCTCAAGCAAGTACATCCCGATACTGGTATATCAAGTAAAGCCATGAGCATCATGAATAGCTTTGTCAATGATATTTTTGAACGGATTGCCGCAGAATCATCTCGCCTAGCTCATTACAACAAAAGATCAACTATCACTTCTCGAGAGATTCAGACTGCAGTACGATTGTTGCTTCCTGGAGAGTTGGCTAAACACGCAGTCAGTGAAGGTACTAAGGCAGTTACCAAATATACTAGCTCCAAGTAAATTTTTATCTTCAGATATTCTAAAACGGTCCTTTTCAGGACCACTAAATATTTCAAAACGTACAACAAACAAGTTGTAAATACTCATCATTCAGAACATATATTCATATTAATTCCTATAAAATTAAAGAAATTTGAGTTACTTTATCTCTTGCATAGTAGTTGACTACTCATGAAATATATTATACATGTTTTTCTCGAGCAAATCCGAAGACGACAGAAACAATAAGAACATTTGGACAATCAATAATACTTAAATATGCAATTTGGAAGTATATTATTGTCTGTAGGAAAAAATAAGAAAAAAAAACAAACAAATTACATTGAAGAAAGCTATATTGAATAATTTACTATCATTCAATTGTTTTGAATATTTATTTTATCAAATGATAGGTGATTAAAAATAATCAGTATAAAAAAAATACAGATTTGTAAAATTGATTGTTATTTTCATGTTGTGGTTGATTTAAAAAATATTTATGTTAAATATGACACAAAGTATTCTAAAGAATAAGGAGAAAAGAGTATAGTAGAACCAAAAATACTTTGTTCAATAGTCTATGTATATGTAACTATTGGTCTTCCATCTTAATGTAATCAATTTATTAGAATTTATTGGAATACACAAGGTACGAAATATAATCAATTAAAGGAGTTTTAAGAACTATTTTTATATTTAAATTGACAACAATGCATAATAATAATAATAATGATAAAAACTCAATAATAAAATTGCATTGTGAATTGAAGTCAATATTACCCAGAATTTTCATTTTTGTTATGCAACGATTTTACCCATCATTTAATCTTTTGACGATAAATGACTTTTAAAGTAAATGGTTTAGAACGTAGTAAAGTCAACGTAAGAAAATTTGTTGGCCCTGAAAAGGGCCGTTTGTTGATAAAATAAAATGTAGTTTAACCACCAAATCCGTAAAGAGTACGTCCTTGACGTTTCAATGCGTAGACAACATCCATAGCAGTGACTGTCTTCCGCTTAGCATGTTCAGTATATGTAACAGCGTCACGAATAACGTTCTCAAGGAAGACTTTCAACACTCCTCGAGTTTCTTCATAAATCAATCCTGAGATACGTTTGACTCCACCACGACGAGCCAGACGACGGATTGCAGGCTTGGTAATACCCTGGATGTTGTCACGAAGAACTTTACGATGCCGCTTAGCACCTCCTTTTCCCAATCCTTTTCCTCCCTTTCCACGACCAGTCATGATTACTATTATTCAAAATGCTCTCAAGTAGAACTCGAAACGAAATGAATGTCTAAACCCGTCACTGTGCTGACTTATATACTTCTTCAGCCATCCCCACCATATTTATTCGACGAATAGCCACCGATCGGACTTTATTCCCCCGTAAGACCTCGTCAACCAACCATGCAACAGCTGTCACAAAGAAAAGAATATATAACGGCAGATTTCGCTGGCGGGGGCACCATTCTCGTTAACATCGTTCTATACGAAGTAACCAGATACATTTTACTACGCCATGGCTCGTACAAAGCAAACTGCTCGCAAATCTACCGGAGGTAAAGCTCCACGTAAACAACTCGCCACCAAGGCCGCACGTAAAAGTGCCCCCGCCACCGGAGGAGTAAAAAAGCCTCATCGATATAGGCCAGGAACTGTCGCTCTCCGTGAAATCCGTCGTTACCAGAAGAGCACTGAACTTCTCATCCGTAAACTACCTTTCCAACGTTTAGTACGTGAGATTGCCCAGGATTTCAAGACTGACTTGAGATTCCAAAGCTCAGCTGTTATGGCACTTCAGGAAGCCAGTGAAGCATACTTAGTTGGCCTTTTCGAAGATACCAACTTGTGTGCTATCCACGCCAAACGAGTAACCATTATGCCTAAGGATATCCAACTTGCTCGTCGTATTAGAGGAGAGAGAGCATAAATTGCTTCATTAATCAACGGCCCTTTTTAGGGCCTACATATTATCATACAAGAGCTACTCAATTCTGATTTCATATATTTTAAGACTAAACAATAAATTGTCCATAACAAAAAATTCAATTCAATTTCGCGTATATATCATTCCAAAAGATAATTTGTAAAAATCCTTAGTATCAAAACTTTTTAAAATCTAAATTTTTAAATAAACAAAATTGAAAATTATATTATTTTTTATTTTGTATACTTATTAAATAGACATTAAAAACTTCTATTCAGCAAATTTTAAAAATTTCATTATTTGATGACTATTTTTCTAAGTAATTGATACATAAAACAATAATGAAGATTACAGAACAAAAACAGTTCTATTTTAATATGTACTTTTTACGTACATGTAAAAAGTTAATGAGAGTAAATTGTGCAATTTGTATCAGCAGAGAAATTTTCTATATTGAGAATAAATTGTTTGGCCCTAAAAAGGGCCGTTGTATTTTTAATGAAAAAATTCCGTTAGTATAAATTTATTTTTTAGCAGCTATCTTTTTAGTTGATTTAGCTGCTTTAGGTGTAGACACTTTCTTGGGTTTAGGTGCTTTTGGTTTAGCAGTTGGTGCTTTAGTTGCTTTCTTAGCCTTAGGAGCTGTTGTTTTGACTTTAGATTCCTTTGTAACAGCTTTTACTCCTTTTTTTTCAGCTGCTGTCTTGGTTTCCTTTTTAGGAGCTGCTTTCTTTGGAGCTGTTTTTTGACCTGCAGTTTTTTTTGCTGCAGGTTTCTTAGTAGTGGGAGTTTTCTTATTCGATGCGGTTTTCTTGGCCGTCGTAGTTTTAGGCTTAGATTTCGTAGTAGTTGCTTTTGTTACATGAAGCTTGAATGATCCGTTAGCGCCTTTACCTTTCACTTGAACTAAAGTACCGTCAGTAACAGCAGACTTCAAGAACTTTTTGATGAATGGAGCGTGTTTCTCAGCATCTACTTTGTATATAGTGGCGATATACTTCTTAATAGCTTGTAGGGATGATCCATTGCGTTCAGCCAAAGTTTTAATGGCTGCTTTAACCATAGAAGCAGTGCTTGGATGAGACTTAGCTTTAGCGTTCGAATTTTTTGCTTTCGGTGCTTCGGCTTTTTTTGGTGAAGCTGCTTTAGCGGTGGCCTTATCTTCAGTCGCTGAAGTCACAACAATTATAGCTTTTTCAGTCATTTTTAAAATGTTTTCACAAACTGAGTACAGTGTTAACTGAATTTTGTTTCGTATAAAAATTAATATGCCAATAAACAGCGCTATACACATAATTGAGCGCGGACCATGAAGAGTCGCCGTGTTGGTTTTCGATACTAGCGCCACAACACTTTCCAACTTTTAGTATTAAATTTTATTCAATTCTTTGATAATTATCAATAAACAATAAACTTAAATTCAGTTACACTGATACAAATTACTAAATGAACGTTTGCTGATTACAAAAGAGTTTCTCTCCTAGATGATATTTACTTTGTAATCAATTATTTCTAATTCAATCATAACTACAGTTTATAATTCATTGACATTTAAAGACATTAAATTGTTAGTGCTCATTTTTGTATGAAAAAATATTTGCATAAATTGTGATAAAAAATATTAGAAGAGTTATATTATTGATATAAATAAATATCATTCTGATACCATCAAAAATAAAGGTTCTATAATGGTATTTTTGTAATGACAAACACACAATGTTTCCGACTCAACACATTTTTTGAATAAAAATCACTATATTATTAATAATTTATTATTATTATTATTATCATTTCTAGTAATAGATGTTTTGGTAGACAATATTGTTCGATAAAATGAGGGAATGTTTTGTTTCGAATAATTATTTTCTGTATATAATGGAAAGAAAATAAATCGTATAACAGTAAAATATCTTTTTTTTTAGAAAAAGCAATTAAAGTAGTATGTTTCTTATTTCTGTATTTTAGTTTTTATATGGTAAGTGTTTGGAAAAAATTTGTGAAATATTATGAAAAAATGAAAAAAAAAAATCTTCACCGACTTAAAAATTGTGATGTATAGTTATTAACAATAATATTTTAACCCAATCTTTTTATTAATACTAATGGTTTCATCGGAAGAAAATCGTTCACATTTTCGTCCTATTATGTATTTTATAGTTTTTCTATTATAAATAGAAAGAGAACGGAAAAAAAAAAAATAATGACTTATTAATCAACTCATTTAAAATAAAGTATTTTTATTAAAAATACAAAACTCTATCGTGAAATCAACAAATATAGGAATTTTTTTTCCATCAATACTTATTGTTTGGAATAAAAACTTTTACGCCACTAACTCTTAGCAGTTAACAGAGCATAAACGTACGGGATTGGTTCGGAGATACACCACATCAAAATATCCAGCTGACACCACATTGCTGTAGTGGGAACAAGGAACTCTTATTTTATTGGTTCGGAGATACACTACAAAATCCATAAGTCTGTACCGCATAGACTGATCTGACATCTACTGCTTTTCTGTCGTCTCGAGTATTAACTACATAAAATAAAAATCATGTCTGGTCGTGGGAAAGGAGGCAAAGTCAAGGGAAAGTCCAAGACCCGGTCAACACGAGCTGGATTACAATTCCCAGTCGGACGTATCCACCGGATGTTACGCAAAGGTAACTACGCTGAACGAGTTGGTGCTGGAGCTCCAGTCTACTTGGCTGCAGTTATGGAATACTTAGCTGCTGAAGTTCTTGAGTTAGCAGGAAATGCTGCTCGTGATAACAAGAAAACCAGAATTATTCCACGTCATCTCCAGTTAGCTATCCGTAACGACGAAGAGTTAAACAAACTTCTGTCTGGAGTTACTATTGCTCAAGGTGGAGTTCTTCCTAACATCCAAGCTGTACTTCTCCCTAAGAAGACTGAAAAAAGCAGTGCTTAGAAAATTTAAACCCAAACGGCCCTTTTTAGGGCCAATAAATATTTCTTATAATGAAACTCGAAGTTCTAAACACATTATCAAAATATGAACGTATTAAATCTTCATTACAGCTCCGTCTCGTATATGATTAATGTTTAAAAAAAATCAGGATTTTAATAGGAGGAAAAAGGTAATAGTGACACCAAGTATTTTGTTGATAAATTACAATCAAAATTCTTTCATTTCTTTCATTTGTTTAATAAAACAAATAACAAATAGTTATTTTCAGCTCTAAAATTTTTTCTTTATCCAAAATTATCTTTATTATATGCAACAAAGTACATAATTTTTTTGAAAATAAATAACCCATTGAATTTTAATGAACATAATATATGTAGAAGTTAAAATACTTGGCTTGTAATGATCTGACAACCTTTTGTATTATTTTTAACAATACAGTTTTATTAAAATAGTGTTTTGTTGGGGTATGTAGTACAAGTTATATTATTATTGGTCGCTACGATATTTTACAAGTAAATAATGAATTATTATAAAAAACAAAATCATGTTTTATTAAAAATCTATGGAGTATTGTAGGAAAAATAATCCTACCATCTTCAGATGACAATAAAACCTCGCGCTATGTACAAGTCCTAAGTGACTCTGCAAATAATGAAAGATCTTATTCTTAAATAATTAATCAGAAGAATTTTAAAACAACAAAAATGTTTGAAATCAAATGGAACGCCATGTCATTCATAAAATTAAGTCATTATTTTTATGGATTTCGATTTATAGTGTAAAAAAATATTTGTTCGAATTTTCTATGAATAATTTAAAAAGTAATTTTGTAGATGCACATTTACGATGAATTTTTTTTGCAATTAATTTTTACTTAATTTAAAAAAGTAATTAATTCATAAAAAATTGAAGAAGACTTGGCCCAATTGTTGTCATGTTCTCTATTGATAGAAATATATTCTGATATGGTTCTTAAAAATTGTGCCACGTCTTATGCAATTCTTTTTAAATTAACTTTACAGCTTAAATAACGTGGACGAACAACTTACTACTAATGAAAATTTACAGTATGCACACTCATCACAAGTGCTCCAAAAATCCAAATCAGAATACACGCATAAAAATGATTGTCCCTTTAACGACGTAGCTGATCTTGTTTTAAAATTAATTGAAGGGAATTTTCAGCATATATACATCCAAAATTATTTGACACCTTTCACCGTTTACATGGGAATTGATGAACAATTCCAACTAATCAAATAATCTAAAAATTTAATTGTACATTTTGACAGCACCGCATCACTTGTCAGACGATCGTATATTTAAGATATTTTAGTGTAAAAACAATTAGTCGATTGCTAAAAAGTATAAAATTAGAAATATAATCAATTATACTTCATGTAAATTAATCTCCAGTGGTTACAGAGGAAAAAATGAAGAAAGCTTCGGGTGCTTTTGGAATCCCTCGTGAGCTTCTATTTTTCAGATTTGAAAAGTTAACATGGGCCCATCTACATTGGAAGACAATATAAAACTTGATGAGCACTGTATTTTTAGAGTAAGGATAAAAAAAATTTTCATATAAGTTTGTACTATCAGTCATATTTTTTATGTTTATTGTCATTGTACCTGCCCGAATTCTTTAACAGCTACCTTAATTATTTGTTCAATGGAATTGAAATAAAACATATAGAGGAATATCGTCAATAAACTTTTTTCAAACTATAGACTGATATGCAAAATAGAACAGCTCCATTAATACCCTAGTATATTAAAGCTGGGTAAAGTGGTGGAGTTTTGGAGACATTAAAAGCAGGAATTCGATAAACAAATATTTCGTGTATACCACACTAAGAAAAATCGAGATAGTTGAGCCAACTATCTACATCGAAAAAGGAAAACTAGTTACGGCAACTAATATTTGTAGCTGCTACTCGTAAGTAGTTGGGTGAAAAGAGTAATACAATGAACTATAAAGAGGAGTTGGATGAACTATTTTGGAAAAATTCAAACAACTTTCAGCATTCAACTTCATGAAAGTAGTTAGAGTAACTATTTTTGATAAGTGCAGGAACTAGAAAATAACAACTATAATTTACACAGTTGATTGAACTTCATGGAAGTAGTCAATCAGCAACTGGGAAAGTTAGTTGTAGTGACTATGATAAGTTATATTAATGATATTAAAATAATTGCGATGACCGAAAGCATTGGACTTCGTTTCAGTAGTGACGACAACTACTTTTTAAATATTACAAAAACTGTTTGTTGTAGTCAATGTAACTTACAGATCCATGTTGCTATTTACAGTTGATCGAACTGTAATTTATCACAGATAGAAATAAAAATTTACTTTTAACAATTATTACGTATTATAGAGTTTCATACGTGTTGAGGTTGTTATTGATATGGAGGAAGGACAACGCATTCGTAAAGTGCATGATTATATCCGTCACAAGAATTATTTAAGATTTGATCAGATGGAGTCTAATAGGAAGGTCATGAACGGAAGGTAGTTACAGAACATCAAGTAGTCTGTTTTAATATATAAATTATAAAAATCTATAGTTGTTTTATGATTGAACTTGTTTTTTTTTCGGCTATTAGATTATTCTTTAATAACAAATATTCAAAAGGAAAATACTACAATATACGTGTAATTACATAAAACAATAAATCACTTAACTTTACTGAACACTTTTTAATTGTAAATTGTTTATTTCTTCAGTATTTATAATAAGAGTACACAGAAGATTTTTTGAAGTAATGTTACATTTCAAAATAATTCTCAAACGCTATGCTATGAATGTCAACAGTTTCATATTTCTTACAGTTGATTGGATTAATTAATTTCAAAGTATATTTTTCTGTAATTAAACAACAATAACAATTCTTAGGAATTACAATAAATGAATTAGTACAGAATATTATAATATAAGAAAACGATGCAAATCATTAAAATTTCTTGTTACAAATAGCATAGAGTTAAATATAGAGCTTTATACGTGATAATGTTATTATTGAATTGAAGAAAGAACGATGCTTTATAGATCAACATATTACGAGAACCTTATTTTAATTAAAGGAATTCCTGACGAGACATGATGCCTTAACTTAGCATTTATTTTCGTACAAATGTATTTTAAATTTTGTTTCAATTGATTTTGTGAATTGATCATTCCTGTTCTGAAATTTTAAAGACAGAAATTCCTCTAATTCGAACAAGCGACTCGCGTTCCTTAGATCAACCACTTTTACAGTTCTATTGTTCAATATAAAACTTTTTAATAGTTTCAACAACTTGAACTTCAACTTGCCTTTAATAAAGGCAAATGAAAATCCTAGAACGCATCATACTTGACATTTGTCAATGTTATTTTTTCAACAATAGTGCAGTCGAATTTTAAAATTACTGTTTTTATATGAAAATCTGACATAAAATAATTTAATGTCAGTGATATTTCTAAAACATTTAATTCAAAAAGTCGGTCAAAACTACTACTTAATTGAAATATGAATGAATTTCGAATGGGGTGTATTAGTCAGGAAGCAATTAATTATGTTTCTCTCAACTTTTTGAAATCCTTTTATCGTTAGTTTTTCTAATGCTGTAAAAAGCTGATCCCAATCTCTTCACATATCCCATTTTGAAGCTAAATATTTTTCAAGTGTAATATAAAGATTTTTTATACTGCTCCTCCATAAGCTTTTTATAAAAATATAAAAAACGTCAATAATTGTTAGATCTAAGTTTTTTCAGTGGAATTCGTTCAATATCGACTGAATAAGATCACTGATGACTCTCTATCTAGTCTTGTAAAATTATTTATAGCAATTACAGGCTGTTATAAACAAATTAACTCCGCAAGAGTACATATAGAGTCATTGGAGACCTCATCTAGTCGATATTAAACATATTCCGCTGGAAAAACTCAAATCTGATAATTATTGACGTTTTTTAATTATTTATAACAATTACAGGCTGTTATAAACAAATTAAATTTGCAAGAGTAGATATAAAGTCATTAGAGACCTTATGTAGTCGATATTAAACATATTCCGCCGGAAACACTTAAATCCAACAATTATCGACGTTTTTTTATTGTTAATAACAATTACAGGCTGTTATAAACAAATTATAGTGGCGAGAGTAGATATAAAATCAATTGTTTATTGAAAAATATTTTTTTATTTAGCTGATATTTTGTTTTAACAAATATTTTTTTGCAGTTAAATACGCGAGATCTATTTTTATTATTTAACCAATATTCAACCGTTATATACGTCGGATATATAAAAAATATTCTAGTTATTTAACCAGTTGTTAACTAGTTTTTAACTCATATTTAACTTGTTTTATTCAGTTAAATACCTAATATTTAACCGGGATTTAACTGTGAATACCCAGTTAAATACGCGAGTTATTTAACTGCTTTTTAACCGTTTTTAACCGAGAAAAAACGGTTGAATTTCGGTTCGATTATTTAACCGGAATTTAACTGGTTTTTTTTAGTTTATAGAAACCGCGAGGGTAGGCGATTGGCATGTAAATTATGACATTCCTTTAATACAATTGATTTAATTGCTGATGATGTAGCATGAACAAAGGATTCTCTACTGAAGTTATTGTTGTAAAAAATGCCAAGTTTAATAATTGTCTTTGAAGTTAGATTCTCTTGCAGAAATAATGTTTGCATTTCTCGATCATAACTTCCTGTAGTATGGCCGATAATGAATGTATGTAAAACTCTGCAATTTTTTGATATTCCTTCAATAATTTTTGATAAAATTATGATTCCCGACAAATCTGATTTTTATAACGAATTATATGCTGGTTGCAAGATAATTGGAACAACTGCAACTGCAACTTCTTGTGTTAAAATAAAATAAAAAATTGACTGTTTAGAAAGCGCAATAACTTTACAACAATTATATGGGATTTTATGTTGTAAAAATAATGTTATAATCGACACAATCTAAATGATGTTGGCACTACAAAA